ACATCAGGCTTGCTCAGGTTGACCTGGGATCTGAACCTGAATGTCCCATGTGGCTCCAGGATTACACAATGGCTACCTACCGCCTGGGCCACCGTGGCTGGGCCAGGCACGATTATAGTGATTATAGCAATTCCTTTGACTTTTTTTTTTTTTAAAGAGATTTTTATCATAGGATGCATGCACTCACTGGAGAGACAGACAGAGAGCAAGAACACACCCCCCCCAAGGGGGATGGCCACACCACAGTCCCTTCTCCTCCACCCTCCACTTGGAATTTTGGGCATGCATGCACATGTACCTAGTGTTAGTTTTAAGCCACTGGGTCCGGGACTCAAACTGCATTTGGCCATCAGGGAGTCCAGTGAAGTGATCATTACACCATCTGCTGACCGTTACACCTTTAACTCTTTTTTTTTTTTTTTAAGAATTATTTAATTTTATTAAGTAAATAAATTTAATTATCTTTTTCTTTTTTGAGAGATTTTTGTTATAGGGTGTGTGTGCTCACCAGAAAGAGACAGACAGAAAGCGAGAAATGTGGGAGTCCAGCATTCTTAACCACCATGCCACCTGCCGATCCCTTAACTCTTAAAAGTATCCTGATTTGTTTGACAAATTATAGGTTCATTCTAGACAGAGCTGAAAGAATGCTTTCCAAAGATTAGTAATTAACAGTGGTGGGCAGTATGGATAGGGGGATAAAGGTAGACTACTGTAGTAGGTATCAGAAAGTGGTGGCATTTGAAGATAGGCTCAATACATGCAGTGGTTAGATGTTGAAGCCATTTACAGCACACCTTACCTATTGGGGAAAAGCAATTAAATTGTTAAACTAGAGAAAGGCTGCTAGAATAGCCTGCAGAGGCTGATTTAGACAATGGATGGCAGCATAGGACAGTTTATATATCCTGTTGGCACAAAGCCCTCCACTTAAGAGGGGACTTCAGAAAGTTTGGGAAAGTGGAATTAAAGTACTGGTTTATTTTGGTGCAAAAGAAAAAAAAACAACTTGAAATCCACGCAATTTTTTTGTAATGTATATTTTTCTTCCTTTTAAAAGTTTATGTACTTCCTCCATGTGAGAGAAAGAGAGAGAAAGAGATATTCCTAACAAGGTCATTATGCTGTTATCCACCCGCAACCTCAGCCAGAACAGTGGGCACACATGAGTGTGGCTGTTGTGTACAGGTGGGCCCCAGGATGCAAACCCAGAACCTTCTCATGTAGGTCCAATATCACGCAGATTTTTTCAGGAACTTTTTTTTCTTGAGAGGTTTATTACTATAGGGCATGTGCTGCCAGAAAGACAGAGACAGAGAGATAAAAAACGACAAGTCATCCTCCAGGGGGGATGGCCATGCTGCAATCTCTTCTCCAGTCTCCTCTTAGGATCTTGGGCACGCACGCACACGTACCTGGTGTGAGTTTAAGCCACTGGGTCCAGGACTCGAACTGTGGTTGACTACGTGGGAGTCCAGCGACATAGCGATTACACCATCTGTTGGTCCCTCTAGGAACTTTTTAAAGATCCCTTGTAAATTGTATCTGTTTTCTGCTCATACATTATGATAATTTTCTAGAGAAAAAATGTAAAATAATTTAAAGTGTTTAGTAAATATTTAGGTTAATTCTTTTCTGGATACCACTGCACTTTCATTTTGATTACTGATAAAAAAAGGTGAAACATGAAAGAGAATAATCCAAAGAACCCTTTCCCTTCCTTTTCTTAGGGAGATTAATAATGTCATAATCTGGGTCTGCCTCTGAACTCCTTCCACATTTGGGGACCAGGAGAAGGCAAATTAGGAATTTTAACTCATTGAGAGGACTGTGTGATAGTTTTGCATTTGTGGCTTTTTGCCTCTTATTTGGGCTAGAACTGGAAAACACTTTATGTTTTCTTCCCTTTTAATTGGAGCAAGAAACCACAGTATCTACTTAAGAATTCTGTGGCAGGGCCAGCAAATGGTGTAATGGCTACATCCCTGGACTCCCATGTAGTCGACCATGGTTTGAGTCCTGGACCCGGTGGCTTAAACTCATGCCCGGCGTGTCTGTGTGCATGCCCAAGATTCCGAGAGGAGAATGGAGGAGAAGGGATTGTGTCAAGACCATCCTCCCTGGGGGGTGATTTCTCACTTTCTGTCTCTCTCTCTGTCTTTCTGGTGAGCGCACATGCCCTATGGCAAAAACCTCTCAAAAA